TTGATAAGTTCACTAATTATAATTTACTTGATTTTGTGACCGAGGCATAACAATGACGTGATGTGGAGATGGAGGAGAATGCTCGAGGAACAACATAATTAACCAGGTATCCATAGAAGTAAAACAAGGAGATACAGGCCTAAAATATGATAGGCAATTCCTTGTAAATGGTACCTTTTAACTCAATTGATTGGCTTACTTAATACAAGACAAGACAACACTATTTAAACTATACTCTTGAAGCATACCTTCAGGAGGACCCCTTACATTTCTTAAGACTCTTAAATACGATTTAAGAGTTCTTACAACAAACCAGAAGGCACCTAGATCTAAAAACAGAGCGAAGAGACTGGAAATGAATAACAACTGAGATAAAACATGGAACAATCTTCAGAACTGGAGCCATTGCAATAGTTTGACTGATGGTGGAGAGGCCTTGAGCTCTCCAGTTGAGGATATTCTGCATTTCCTTTTTGTTCTCTGCTGCAAAAACCAAAACGGTTAGTTTCTAACAGTGGAATTAGAGCAAATAAAAATTCAGGCACGGTTACCTTTTTGTTAGTTCAGCTTGAATTTATCAAAATTTATTTCGAAGGTGAGCTAGCTCCCCGACTGAGTTTGCGTGCTTCTATTCACTGAGACATTGGCTACATTTAGATATTCGAATTCATCGACTAGCTGTCTAATTTGAACCTCAAGTGTCTCCAAATTGGACTTCACTAGTTGCCCTTTTGCCTGAATTTCATGTTCCAGTCCCCTACTTTGAGCCTCAAATGCCTCCAGATTGGACTTCATTAGCTGCTTCTTTACATCTATTTCGCGCTTCAATCTCTCGTTTTGGGCCTCAAATGCCTCCAGATTGGACTTCATTGGTTGTTCCTTTTCTCCAATTTCTAGTTTCAATCTGTCTTTTTCAGCCTCAAATGCCTCCATATTGGACTTCATAAGCCTTTCCTTTTCTTCAATTTTCCATTCTAATGTCCAATTGTTACTTTTTAACATTAACGCTCGGATTTTCTTGTTTTCCATTGAATGCTCAAATATCCCATAATCAACCAAAAACGCCCTTAGGTTGAACTTCATTTGTCGTTCTTTTTCTTTAATTTCATGCTTCAACCTCTTATTTTCAGCCTCAAATGCCTCTATATTGGACTTCATCTGCTGGTCCTCGTGACATAGCTCTTGTATTTCTAGAATTTCAGGCTTTAATGGACCATTTTCAGCCACAAGTGATGCAGCAACTACACGGCTTCCTCTTTCCTCAAAACAACAAGGAGTATTTTTTGGTCGAAAGAAGGATGAGAAAAATTCTTCCAGTTCAGCATCTTGATCTGATAGTCCCTCCGTCAATGGCTGCGATTCGACTGCTGTGTTTCTGCCTTGTCCCTGATGTAAACCGAACTCTGGTGACACATCGTTTGTTTGTGCAGTTTGGCCTAATTGTTCCTGCAGCAAGAAATCTGGTAATCCATGAGAATCCTCAGTGAATGTTCCCGGGAATTGAAATGCTTGCTGCATTCCACTTGTGCCTTCTGGCTGAGTCAGCGTTATTGTTGATGTAGCAGCCTGAGAGACTTGACTTATCGATATATTGTGTTGCGGCTGCCATGGCTGTGCATAAAGAGGTGTGCCTGAACGTTGAGTTATATTTTGTTGAAGCTCATCCACCTTTGAGGCAAATCCATCCACTACCAGTTTAATTTGGGTCAGAAGTGGTTGCATATTAGTAATAGACATTTGTTGTTGATTTACAATCCCAATCACGTCCAGCAAAGAGTTGGTTAGCTGTTTCTTTTCTTCTAATTCACACTTCAATCTCGCATTTTCAGCCTCAACTACCTCAAGCTTGGACTTCATCCGCTGCTCCTGTTTATCTTTTTGCTGAATTTCTTGCTTTAATCGATCATTTTCATCCTCCAGTGCCTGTCTTCTATCCTGGAATAGTGAAAACACCATAAAATAAATATTCTTTTTTTAAGAAAAAAAAATAAAGATCTAAGGCTTTGTTTGAGGTGTTATGTTGTGATGTGGTTGTAGTGTTTATTTTTTATAATTTTAAAAATATATAGAATATTAATTTTTAATTAAAATCAATTTAAGAATAACAATTTTACATCTTTAAGTAAGTTCCTGTGTGAAAAGTATTTGTATAAAGCATTCCCAAATTAAATCTAACTCTTTGGCTCATGAATTATGAAGATATTTCCAGGTAAAGCATATAGAGCCCTAGGTCGTTATAGTGCCTAAAATCAATGTGGGATATTCAGTTGAGCTACAAGTTATTTTTTTCCGTCGGTCAAATATGAAACTCTACAGCTAACAATTTGTTCCCATTATTATTATCGGAAAGATTCTTCAATAGTGGTTTAATCCCACTTCTCCGTATGGTTCCGTGGTCATTGAGTTTTATGTCTTAAATAAGTAAAAATGTGTTTACTGAATTTATTATTAGTGTATTATGATATTTTTAAAAAGTCTATAATACCCCTCTTCCCCTTTCATCATCACTGCTTCACAGGCTCTGATCTAATGAATACGACGTCTTCCAGCCTTGAGCCAGCAATTTAATGATTACTAAATGAATCACCTCAATTTTTTTCTTTTCTTCTTTTTTGTTGGCCATGGAATGACACATATCATTAAATTAAACAATTTAAAAATTAATGATCTTACCATCACTCGACAGAATCAATCTTTCAATCTGGCTAAGAAAAAAGATCAAATTTACAACAGTTGATAAACAAAGAGATGCAAAGACTACAAAACAATAAGAAAAGAGGGTAATGTGGTTTTAAAATTTAAAAATTAATTTAGAACCTTCAAGCCAAAACAAAAATAGTTTAGAAACTGTCACAAATCCAATTAAAGTAAAAATTATCCCAAAAAATTTCACCCAAGAAACTAATTGCACTAAATCTAAACAAACTAAAAGAGCTGCAAAAGCATTTCCCTTCTGGAGCCGACGATGGGATTGGATGCCTTTGGCGCTAGCATGGTGGGGCACTGGTGATTCGCAAAATCAGAGGAAAAAGTGGACTTGGTAACGCGAGAGAGGACGAGTGAGTAAGAAATTTTGAAAGATTTAAAATGACAAAAAAGGTCATTTGACAAAATGACTATAAAAAATAAGTAAATTTTTTAGACACTAAAAGAAAAGATTTGGCTAATAAATATTCACTTATTTTAAATTGATTTTCGATTCTCCACTGAATTGAGAAGGAAATCCTAAGCATCTCACAAGTTTTGGATTAATACAACAGGCTTATCCACTGTCTCATAGAAATAATAATAATAATAGTAATAATAATAATAATAATAACTTTATTCTCTAATCCAAAATTTTCTATTGGGTTGTAAGGCCATTTTCTTCTTCTTCTTTTTTAGTTAATTTGATATTTCAAAATTCAATTGGTTACTTAAATGTTACTACATAGATCTTTTTTTCCTTGGTTTTTAGTTGTGTTTTATTTTAATTAAGTCTTTTTTCACAAAGATAACTATACAGTCGACGACGACGACGACGATGATGATGACGACTCAAAGAACTGTATTTTTTACTATTTTACACCAAGTATACCCAAATCTATAATCACTTTCACTAGAGACACAGATGTTTACCCTTTGTTTGTCTCTGTATCTTTTATCGTTCTTTCTCTTTTTGTCACGCCGTGCTTCATCACTATCTTCTCCAATATCTCTTTGTGAATCAGGATCCCCAGTGGCAGTTGCCAACAACTGCGTTGCTGCAGCAGTCTGATTGCCTTGACTTTGATTTATCCCCGACTCTTCCATTAAATCTGCAGGTTGACCTAACTGTTTCTGCGGATCATGCTAATTGCTTTTATCCATGGAAATATTCGGAAGCAGCTCGTTGAAACTCTTATCATCAGGATTCACTGCTTCAAATTGAGATGTTTATATATCAAAATTAATAGGAGAAAAAGTGAAATTTATGGAGGGATCAAACATTTATTACAAATATGTCATTACGAGGAGAAGCAAAGAAAAAAATTTTTTTTTTCATGAAATTGAAATTTTACACTTACAGAATTGTCCTCTCCATTGTCGGCTTGCCCATTCTTCACTGGCTGGACCCCCAATTCCAGAGTTCACCTTGATTTTATTTTAGCTGGGGGATCGTGAGAATAGTAAATATATATTCAGAGGACCGTTCGATCATCTGTCGGTTGCCCATTCTTTTCCTTGGACTTTTATTTTCTGACAAGTCAACAGCGGCGTGGTGCCGTCACAGAACGTGGTGCCGTGTTCACTACTGCACTTCAGAATGGGAAAATGATTCAGATTTTTCTTTATATAATTTTTCTATGAGCAATGCTAGCAACACTCGCCATTTGCACTCTCCGACCAGCACTTCCAATTTCATTGGGCCACGTTATGTTGGTGAGGGGAAGTAATCATTTTATACCCGAAGCAAGCTTACGTGGCCCAATAAAAAAGCACGTGTTGGCCGGAGAGTGCAGGAGGCGAGTACCCCTAGCCCTGCTCTTTTTCTATAACTATACGCGTTTTCTTTTGTTTTTTTTTTTGGTAGAAACCATACGCGTTTTCTAAACATTAGTTATTTTCACTCAATAATAAAATTTGTAATATTATATATTTTTATTTATTTAATAATATATAAAAATGAGATAAATTTTGTCATCTTGTCGTTATCCATAGTAATACTATTAATTAATATTATATGAGAAAGGAAAAAAAATCAAGAAATCTTA